AGTGAGATCCCAGTGTGCCTACATTGTGAACAGGCAGATGCAGAGCTTCTGGGAAGGGGTGGGGGAGGCAGAGGAAGGAATTGGTCTTCTAGAGCAGGTGTAGGCCTGAGATGGCTGGTGGGGAGGGCAGGGCAGCCCTCGCTGTGAAGGGGTTGTCTGTAATCTTTTCTGCCCCATATTGACTGTTTAATTGGCAGAGGCATGAACCCAGGCTTTTAATTGTAGAATCCTGGGACTGTTGGCTGTAGATTTGAGGCTTCTGTGTTTAGGGCTGATCATCATTAGCATGCGTGTGAGTTTCCTGTGGCCACTGTCATACATTACCGCAAATTTAGTGGCTTAAAACAACAGAAATGTATTCTCCCACCGCCATGGTGGCTACAAGTCTGAAATCAAGGTAGGGGGAGGGCGTGCTCCCTCTGGAGGCTTTCAGGAGGAGTGTTCTTTGCCTCTTCCAACTTCTGCCGGCTGCTGGCTTCCTTGGCTTGTAGCCGCATCACTTCTGTCTCTGCTTCTGTCTTTACATCACCTTCTCCTCTGTGTTTCTTCTCTGCTGTGGTGGTTGTTGTTTTTTTGAGTCCTCAACCAAAGATATGTTTTTATTGATTTGAGAGTGAGAGAGAGAGAAACATCGATCGGCTGCCTTCTGCATGCTCCCTGCTGGGGATTGAATCTGCAACCTCAGCATGAGCCCTGACCAGGAGTCAAATGACCTGTTGATGCATGGGGTGACATTCAACCAACTGAGCCACACTGGCCAGGGCCACTGCTGTAATTTTTAATGGCTGCTTAGGCCATCGAGGGAATGTGTACCAAAACATGCTTGTGCTTACTGTCATTGGATATTTAAGTTGTTTTCTGCTTTTTTCTACTATTGTAAATACTGGTGCAATAAATGTCTTTGCAGATACAGATTTTTATATGTTTTTGTCATATTTCTTTAGGATGAATTCTTAGGTTCTGGGTCGAAGTACCAAGGTTAACTGTGGCTCTTGGTACACTTGGGACCCAGTCAGCCTGTCTGGGGGTGATTGTTTTTTCTTGTTCTGTGACATAGCCTCTAAAGCAAATAGGACTTCAGAGAGCTTCTAAAGTATTGGAGACTCCATGTCTCCCAGATAGAATGGCGGAGTGTTTTTTAGCCCATAAGGTATTTATTTAATGTTTATTTGGAGCCAGAAATAAACCCCACAGTAGGGTTTATTGGGTAGAGTGTAGGATGGGAAAACAAGGAAAAGTCCCAGAGAGCTAGCTCACAGCAGGACCTGTGAACCACGTGGGAAGACATTGCCAAACCACGGAAAACCAGTGTGTGTTTCAAGGCCCCTCCTGGAAGAGCTCCAGCCTAACTCTGCCTCTTTTCTCTTGGGTCCCTCACACCCTAATGACATGGAAGTGTTCCCCTGCCCCAGAGCTGTGGTGAGCCTTACTCACTGGGCCTTTGCTCACCTTCCTCCCCTCCTCTTGGAACCCTACCCTCCTCAAAGCCCTGCCTAGACCTCTCTTCTCCTCCCTTCCTGTCTTCATCCTGCCCTGGGTTCTTGTGCATGTCTCAGCTACCAGATCGTGGACTCCAGAAGGCAAGAGCTGTGCCTTGTTCATCTTAGTGTGTACCTAATGTTAACTGAATGAAAATGAGTTCAGGAGCATTTTGTTATAAATTAAGTAAAAGGCATTAGCCAGTCTGGGGCCTTTGGCATTGAGGGGGTTTTAGGTTACTTCTTTGTAGGTGAAACTTAGCTCTCACTATCCTTTTATTTATTTATTTGTTTGTTTGTTTGTTTATTTTTAAAATATATTTTTATTGATTTCAGAGAAGAAGGGAGCGGGAGAGAGATATAAAAACATCAATGATAAGAGAGAATCATTGATCGGCTACCTCCTGCATGCCCCCCACTAGGGACCGAGCCCCCATGCCCCCCTCCACTGGGGACCGAGCCTGCAACCTGAGCGTGTGCCCTTAACCAGAATTGAAACCTGGACCCCTCAGTCTGCAGGCCTACGCTCTATCCGCTGAGCCAAACCAGCTAGGGCTCACTATCCTTTTAAATAACTACTTGACCCACTTATGAATTAGTTAATGCTCGGTGAGTGGAAAAGAAGATTGCTGTTGTTGACTTCTTATTTGTGACTCAGAGTAAAAGCTGAGGATCCTCATTCAGGCCAGTCAGTGTGGTTCTTAGTCACAAGACTCTCTGCATGTGTCCTACAAAGGGTGTTTCCCAAGAAGGACTTCTCTGAGGCCTAGGAATAAAGAAATGAGCAGAAGCAGTTATCCCGGTCACTCACAGTGCCTGCGTCAGTGTCCTTCTAGAGTGGGGTTCATTCAACCACACATTGATGGTGCACCTTCCATTTGTCAGGCGCTATTCCAGGTTTTTGGGGTGCACTGCTAAACAAGGTAGAACTGGGTCTTTCCCTCCCAGGTTTATCACTTTTGTCTTTGGAGACAGACAGCCTTGGATTCAGAGTCAGGTTCAGCACTACTTCTGAAATCTTGGACGAGCTGCTTCCCCTCTCTGAGTGGAGGCTTTCTCCAGCTGCAAACTATTAATACTCCTCCCTCACAGGGTGGTCGTGAGGTGGAATGAGGAGGAGAGGGTGTAGCTTTTCTCAGCCAGGGATCCTCAGCTGAGCCACAGGACACAGAAATTGATTGACTGTTTTCTCCATTCTCTCAAGGATGGGATATAACCAGGATGGTTCAAGATGCACGGGAGAGAAGTCAAGTCATGGCAGACAGTGGATGCCTTAGGATAGTAGGGCTTAATTCTCTTGAGGAACCAGGTTGAGAGAGGCTAGTAGAACCTTCTTTTTGGATGGCTTGACACAGTGGCCAGTTCTGGGGTGACTAGAATTTCACAGTAGCATCCTGGTGTAGTAAGCCTGGCACATAGTAGACACTCAGTAAATGTTAGCTCCCTTCCTCAGTCCCTCCTCCTCCCTACCTCTATCCCTAGGCCTCAGCTTCTCTTGAAGCCACCCACAACTTTCAGAAGAGCCCAGGTGTTCTCAGATGGGAAGTATCCTTGTCTCCCAGAGTGTTCCTGTTCCAGGCTCCTCTTCCCAGGCAAGGTGTTTCTCGGCCCCAAGGCTGCTGCTGTGATGCAGATGCTCCTTCTCTATGCCCTAGCATTTGGGCAGTGCCTCCTAGAGAAAGCAGAGGGCCTACAACAGCCGTGGGCAAACTACGGCCCACGGGCCGGATCCAGCCCGTTTGAAATGAATAAAACTAAAAAAAAAAAAGACCGTACCCTTTTATGTAATGATGTTTACTTTGAATTTATATTAGTTCACACAAACACTCCATCCATGCTTTTGTTCCGGCCCTCCGGTCCAGTTTAAGAACCCATTGTGGCCCTCGAGTCAAAAAGTTTGCCCACCCCTGGCCTACAACATGCAGCACTTACTCGCAGACATTACTTGAGCTTCTGCTCTACACAGACCTTCACGAAGCACTGGGAAGCCAGAGTATGAACTAGGCACCTGGTGCAGAATTTACAGCCTATTAGTGGAGACAGGATTTGTTTATGGTGACCCTATTGTCTTTTTCCATATAGAAAAATTAGGGGGTTCCATGGGGCCTATTTAATGTTAACATTGTGTTTAAAAATCCAACTTATGGAGGCTTCCTGGTGGAGGTGAGGCTGGGCCGGAAGGACAGGAGCATCTGGATGAGTAGTGAGTGATGGGGGGTGAAGTGTGCAGACAGGGGAGCCTAGGTGAGGACTGTAACAGGGTCCTTGACAGAGTCCAGTGGCAATCTGCTTACTCTTCACAGCTGTTTCTCCCAAAACCCAGGCATTGTGTTGAGCCCCATACCTATATGTATGGAGAAGGGGGAGTGTGTAGGAGCTCTGCTGGGTGAGGGCAGGATGAAGACAGACTGGCCTCAGGTCAGCCGCGAGGCTGCTTGGGTGAAGAGGGTGCAGGGAGCCCTGTGCAGGGCTGGCCTTGGCAGAGATCAGATGGGAAAGGGAAGATTAAACACTTAGGACAAGCTGTGTTCTGAGGATCTTTTTGTATTTTTTAAAAGAATCGAGAGAAAAAAATAACCAAAAACATTTCCCTGGCTTTTTATCTGAGCCCTTTATATCTCTTTATTCCTAGTAAGCACGCTTGATTTAATCAGTCAGCACTAGCACCTAGCAGTATGCTTTTGTTCTAAGACCTGTAGCTGTCCTTTTAAAAATAAGAGGAATAAAATAATAAATAAAACATTACAGAAAGGTTATAAAGTGAAAAATATCCACCCATTCACCCCCACCCCCACCCCCACCATAAAACCCCACTCCCTGGAGGTAAATACTAGGAACCGTTATGAATCCATGAAGGGCACTAACAAGAACACCTTTTTTCTATTGATTCCCAGGCCTCAGAGTATAAAGCTTGCTTTGTATCTTCTGGAAAGTCATCTGGGCTGAACCCCTCCTTTTCCAGAAAGAGGAAAGAGATTGCAGCTCTCTGTGGCAGGGGCCGGGCACAGGAGTCTTCAGAAGAGGCTGTTCAGAACACTAGGAAGGGCCATCAGCGGCCTCACTTAGCCGGCTCTCTGGGATTGCCTGCTGGCCCTGAGGTGGTTATGTCTGTCCTCCTTCTCCTCAGTGTCTAATGGCTCTTTTTTACCTCCTCAGGATCCCTCTGTGACCCAGCTGACCAATGCTCCACAAGGTGGCCTGGCTGAATTCAACCCCTTCTCAGAGGTTGGTGAGCATGTCCTCTTTATGAGTCTCTGGGTCCTCTGGGTGGTGCTGGGGTCTCTGGGGCAAGGAGCCTTGGCAAGACTGAGAATCTGCAGTTCTCAAAGGGACAATCTTTTTGTGTTGTTGTTTTAAATATGTTTTATTTATTTTAGAGAGGAAGGGAGAGGGAGAGAGAGATGGAAACATCAATGATGAGAAAGAAACATTTGATTGGCTGCCTCCTGTGCACCCCCTACTGGGGATCGAGTCTGAAACCCGGGCATGTGCCCTGACTGGGAATTGAACTGTGACATCCTGGTTCATGGGTTGATGCTCAACCACTGAGCCACAGTGGCCAGGCTCAAAGGAACAGTCTTTTATTTTTTTTAAAAATATATCTTTATTGATTTCAGAGAGGAAGGGAGAGGGAGATAGAAACATCAATGATGAGAGAGAATCATTGATCGGCTGCCTCCTGCACACCCCCTACAAGAGATCGAGCCTGCAACCCAGGTATGTGCCCTTGACTGGAATTGAACCTGTGACTCTTCAGTCCTCAGGCTGACACTCTATCCGCTGAGCCAAACTGACTAGGGCTCAAAGGGACAGTCTTAATGTGAACTTGAGGGGTGGGGGTAAGATGAGGAAGCCACCAATTCTCCTCTTAGGGTCCATGATCTGGGCTCCTCCTGAAGAGGGCAGGGCAGTGCCAGGAGCTCTGGACCCAAAAAGGCCAGGGATCCTAGGTTAGGCCTTACACTGCTCAGAGCCTGAGGCTTGTTGGCTGAAAAGCTACAGAGGGAGATCCAGAGGGAGTACTCCTCATAGGCAGGGGCATATCACCCTCCCTGTTGTGGGTTTGCCTCCCACATGGCCAACTAATGGTGTCCTACTCACCTCACTCCTTTAATCTGTCCCAAGCAGACAAATGCAGCAACAACGGTTCCTGTCACCCAGCTCCCTGGGCCCTCGCAGCCAGCGGTTCTCCAGCCCTCAGTGGAACCAACCCAGCCAACCCCCCAGGTACTGTTGACAAAGATCCCTTTTGCCTCTCCTTTCCAGAAAGGGAAGCACCCAGACTAGTAGCTGAGTCCTGAGATCGGGGTGGGCAGGGGGGTCTTATTCTCTGGCTTCCCTTCAAGGGCCTCTTAATAATCTCTTTGGAGTTTGTCACTTGGATGTGGAGGGTCTCCTCACATAAACCCTCACACCCCCCCCCCCCAACC